GGGGGATGCAGTTGGGCAGGAGCATAAAGCCTGCCTAGAGAAGAGCCGGCAGCGACTCGTCAGACAGATTTATGTCCCTTAAAAACACATCCGTTCTATTAAGAGGTTTTAGGGATGCTAAAGCTGTGCTAGCGCTGCTGCAGCTAAACGAGCAAGTTCTGCCAGCTCCTCCATCCCTGCCCTGGCTCTTTGCTCTTAGCATCACAACCTGCGTTCTTCATGGCACATGGGGTTTGGGTACCCTTCTTACAGACCAGAACAGCAAATCATAGAATCCCAGACTGGTTTGTGTTGGAAGGGACCTTAAAGCTCCTCCAGCTCCAACCCCTGCCCCGGGCAGGGACACCTTCCACTAGAGCAGGTTGCTCCAAGCCCCTGTGTCCAACCTGGCCTTGAACACTGCCAGGGATGGGGCAGCCACAGCTTCTCTGGGCACCCTGTGCCAGTGCCTCAGCACCCTCACAGGGAAGAGCTTCTGCCTCAGAGCTCAGCTCAATCTCCCCTCTGGCAGGTTCAAGCCATTCCCCTTGGCCTGTCCCTCCATCCCTTGTCCAAAGCCCCTCTCCAGGTCTCCTGGAGCCCCTTTAGGCCCTGGAGCTGCTCTAAGGTGTCCCCTTGAGGAGCCTTCTCTTCTCCAGCTGCCCCAGCCCAGCTCTCTCAGCCTGGCTCCAGAGCAGAGCTGCTCCAGCCCTCGCAGCAGCTCCGGGGCCTCCTCTGGACTCACTCCAGCAGCTCCACGTCCCTCTTGTGCTGTTCCCCAGAGCTGGATCAGGGCTGCAGGGGGGGGTCTCAATAAATTTAATCAAATCATTTATTCAAATAAGCCCTAGAGCTAAAGTGATGCGAATCAAAGCCTATTCTTGAAATATAGGATACATCTTGTTAAAGAAAAAGTTGCTTCTTAAACATGAAAATCTTCTGTGTTTTGGAAAAGAAGGTGAGTTTTGGCCTCTTCCTTCAGCCAGCCCTCTGTAAGCTGTAGCACGTTATATCATTTTTGAGACAGATCATTGCTTGAGATCCCTCAAAAAGGAAGCCAATTTTCAGAAATTATACTCAAGCAATTGAATATTTTATGCTCTAATATAGAAGAGAGACTTCGATATTAACAGGAAAATTAAAAATTCAGAGCTGTGATTACAAATGGTTTCAAAGGGTTCATCAGTTTATAGAGTATGGAAAAAACCCCCCACAGAGCCACCAAAGATGTTCTCAAATCACAGCAGAGTCAAGTTGTTCTCAGAAAAATAAGCCCCAGAGGTTAATTTTTAAGACACAAACTCACTATTTCAGAGCCCTCTGTAGACAGAAATGCCAGCCATGTCCTGGGCTGCACCAAAAGCAGTGCGAGGAGCAGGTCAAAGGAGATGATCCTACCCCTCTGCTCTGCTCCCATGAGACCCCACTTGCAGCACTGGGTGCAGTTCTGGTGT